TTGCTGCTTTAAATGCCAGGGACGTGCCGCTCACGCTCTAAGAGCCACTCGATTTTTAGGATGTAAGTGGTTAGATGATTGCTGGATCGACTAACTCTAAAGCCTCAACCCTTACCTAGACAAAGCGGGTTTATTGGGCAGGGGTCCGCACTCAGGTGTGGCTTCAAGGGTATGCTCAGGCTCGCGTACAGCTCGCGAATGAAAGCCACGCGGAGGTCGAGGCTCCTCAATCATGCCCGGGCGCTGCCTGCAGCACCCGAAGAATAAGTCGCACAGCCATCCGAAGCTGGTTGGAGCGGCTTTCACCTGTGGGCGCTTGGCAAGAGGTGCATACGCTGGAGCAGCCTTGGCCGCTGGTTTCAGCAGCGTTGGCAGTTCGGACACCTCGTGCTCAGTCTTGGCATCGCTCAGGCTCGCCAGGAACCATCTGCCCAAACTGTCCATGAACATTTTCAAGGCCCCAAATGCCTTGAGCGTTGGACCCTAAGCTTGATTATAACGAAGAAGCTCATTAAGTCATGTAAGTATGTGCGTACATATGTTGCATATCTACGTGTAAGCAATCCCACAACCGCTCTCGGTGACAGCTGGGCCTAGCACCTGCAAACTGCAAGGACCAGCGTTTCGTAACCTACTCCACGGGACCGTTCGCGCCAAAATAGAGGGGCCTTGATAACTAGAATAGGGTTTTGGGGCCCATGATACTACAACCATAACGAGGAACCCCCAAAATAGTAGTCGCAATTGCTTAAGCCCTTCTAGTAATGATTCAAATGGGGATGACAATGCACAGAGGGCAGGTCCCGTGATCCAAAGCTTGCATAAAACCATGTAGAGACCAGGAATGCTTTATGAATATCGGAACTGTATCCTACCTGTTAAGTTTCCTGACAGGTTCCTCAACATCTCAACGTCAGTACATCGAAGAGCGACAATGGGATCTTGACCGCCAGGAGCGACCAAATCCTGACTACCCACTAGAGCTAAAGACCAGACGGCCTCTGCAAAGCGTGCTTAGTGGGTTGCTTGTACTCAGGTAGCACCTACACTCCAAACCTGTAACTCTGAACTACAAACCGCTAAACCCTTTTGCAACATGGCGCCAGAGCAGCCCACAAACCGCTAGAACGACTGCTGTCTAATTCAAGCAAGATAAGTTCAAGAGTAACACTGAGAAGATGAATAATGATGAATACTCGGTGTCTCAAACGCCTGTGAAGACAATGACTCGGCTTCACCGCCCCGTCTGAGGCCGGGTCATGGCTAGGCTTGGGCAGCAAAGGGTGCCACGAGTCCTACACCTCTGTGCCTAAACACTGAACCTGCCTGATGTCCTCCGATGTATGGGATATGTATTGGATCTTACTGCAAGACATGCAGTAGCCCGTTCGTGTTGAGAGCCTATTACGAAGTTCATCTGCTGCAAACTAGTTCATGGCCGTGTTTTACGGAGAGGTTAGGTGGGGGATTTGAGTAGCTTGAACCTGTTGAGTCCGATTCCCCTGAGAACGGCCGAGCCGCGCTGTCAACACGGTATCGGCTGATTCTTCTATTCAAGTACGTAGGTCATCGATTCGATAGTCCGTGCTACCTGCTTTACGATGTTGGCAAGATACGGGTATGAAAGACTAGCTCACGAGGATATGCTTGCCCGAGTCTATTGGGAACCCTATCATGCCAGACCTTCAAGAGCCAAGCAGGCGCGAGGAGAGTGTTTCGGGTTGAGTCTCTGGCTTGATTCAACTCAGACTTGGAAGGAGAACGGAGGCTGCCTTGGGTTTAGGACTCGGGTTCTGTAGTGTTCGATATTTCTGGTTAAGGGGATTCTTGTATGAGACCTTGGGGGACGAGCGCTTAGCTCAAGCTGCCGCCTAAAGGGAACTCCAGAAAGTTGGAATATGGAATAATGGTAGGATCCCCTATATTTTACCTTAAAGGGACTATGATAATGATATTCCAACTTTCTGGCTTCTACTGTAGAGGCACGCAGAGAAACTTTTGCTTAAACTCGACCCCAAGGCCTTTGTTTTTAATTGTTAACTAAAGAGACAAGGTGTCCGAAAAACGAACAACATTCGAGAGCAAGAGCACTCGTCTCTTTCAAGGACCATGGTGGAATCGATATTGGTGATGGCACCATTGCGCCCGAACCATTAAATCGGATAACCCAAAGCCTCCGAGAAAGGATACAGAACTTGACTTCGCAAGTTTGCTTTTACTAGGCAACGCCCTAAACACTGATTCGATGAACCCATACTGCAAGCCTAACTCCTAAACTTCGGAGCATGAAGAGATACCAACCCTAGGTTATAATTGGGGTTATAAGTCCCCTAAGTGGGGTTACCCTAATTATAATCTACTTATAACCTTACTTACTAAGTCCCATGAGCCTTCAAGTAAATCTCAGCCTAAGAGAAGGATCCTTGGCTCTGAACCTCAAACCCCAAACAGCAAAGCCGGATCCAACACAACCTACTATAGAGGCCTTAACAACCCCAAAGGCTCCATGTACCCATATAGTAGCTACTTAGGCCTTAAAGTACCGTTATAGGGACCCCTTTAAGGCCTAAGTAGCTACTATATGGGCACATGGAGCCCTAGGGAACTAGAATAGGGTCTTTTGAGCCTATAAATCTATTAAGGACCCCCCAAAACAGTACTGGCAAGTATTTAGGCTTCTGGGTTCAACAGCGAGGAAGACATGACAGCGCTTCCAATCCGAAGGCACACTGCGCGCCCCTAAACATTCTCACCCTTCAGCCTACTCTCTCTTGACACAACTATGTCCTAAGGAGACCATAAGAGAGAACCATAAGCAAGCTTTTGGAATGGCTCCACGAATTAGCGTAGAGTCGAAAATCTTCCTGCATGGATTTACTGTCAGGAACTACAACAAGCAACCACAATGAATGAGCTACGTAGCTCAATCGTTATGACAAGTAGAAGTAATCGTAAAGTATAAGCTGTAAAATGGCTACCCAGGGGACCCAAAGTAGTTCCTTTTTGGAGTTACCCTATAGGATTCTATATATGAACCCCAAAAAGGAACTACTTTGGGGCCTTTGGCTAAGCCGATAGGAGCTTTAGACCCGACCATCTGCCTCCTGGCTGGCTGCTTGGCCGCACTGCCAGTCCCAAATCATACGACAGGCTCGTTGCTGTTGGGGTTTGAGGTTTAGGGTTTAAGGTTTAGGGTTTAAGAGTTTAAGATAATACTACTGGTGGTTAGTAGTAGTAGTAGTAGTAGTAGTAGTAGTAGCCTTCAGCATCTGTTGCTCTAGCTGCTGCACGGGCATTAAATTATGTGCATCAAAGTACGATGGCTACGAGTGGTTCAGGCTTTAGTATCGGCACAATGGCAGCTGGATCGTCCTGTACCACATACTAATTTTCGGTCTGTTTGTGCAAGAAGTATTCGCCATGCAGTCTGACTAAGAACGACGGCTTTGGCGAGCCCAGAGGTGCTGGCAAACGCTTGCAAACATGTTGAGGGTTCGTCAGCTGTAAGCCTAACTAACCCGAAGTGTGCTTCGACCTACATAACTGCGCGAATACTCTGCAGCTAAGGTGAGTTTGGCCATGAAAAACACAGAGATATGTAGCCGCGCAGCCTCAGGCAGCAACAACGAACGCCGTAACAGCAGTGCATAAACAGCAACCTCGCAACACTGCTGATAGCGGGGATGAGAAATGATAGTGGAGTCGACATGGTGTTATTCATACTGCTTTTTGTGCTTGTCCTGTCTTCCTTTATTTGTCGCTAGCGGTTCGCCTCCATATAATATGTGATGAGTCTTCCTCTCTGCTCAATAAATATCAGCATCATGAGTAGTGTGGACACTGTCAGACGGAACGACTGATGACTGAAGCCAGGTGCTAACCACACCCCGAAAAACCTCTCAGCATCTGTTCAGGGTTCGGCTTGAAGACGCCCGAGCCTACCCCAATATGGGCGGTTCTCTAAATCAACCCAGAGACTCCAATATCCCTTAATTAAGGAAAATTCCTTAAATCATATTAGGGATCCTACTATAATTTAAGGAGTATTGAGTATTCCTGAATTAAGGGATATTGGAGTCTCTGGGTACCCACTGTTCCTCCTGCATTGTACGGCCTCGGCGGCTCCGGGAGTACGCGGTTCAACTCCCACATGGGCAACTGGAAGAGCTCCGGCTGAGGGTTTAGCGGTTTATAGGGTTTGTAAGGTTTAGGGTATAGGGTTTAGGGCCTACGGATTTGTAGGGTTCAGGGTTAAGGCGGTTAGGACATTTTCGGGGTTTAGGGTTCAAAGGCTCGGCCACGTCATTACTCCTGTATGACGAGATGAGAGGAAACCGATCACCTGCTAGAAACCGACTACCTGCTACCCTAACGAACATGTGCATATGCTAGCAGAATACTATGCTACAGCTGCTACTATACATCCTAATCCCGAAGAACATACATAATCTGTTGGATAGTAAGGAGCACGACGGAAACCTAGCTCTGACCTGCACTTCTTTGTCACGCCTCTGTTGTCTTGCTAAGTTGGAAGTCTTGCCGACCGCGTCGGGATGAGGTCTCCGCCTTACCAGCGCACCCTATCCAGGCCCAATACCACAGCTCCGCCGCTCCGCGTGAGTTCCGGGGGCAGCAGGTTCTCCAGCGTCGAGTCAGGCTGCTGCTTGGTGGGGGCGTCCATGCCTGCGCAAGGAAACCCTTCGTAGACTAAAACCAATGGTACACTACACTATATCATATTATGAAACTATACCACAGTGCTCTTCACTAACCTGCGATTCAATTTTGGGTCAAGGTCGAGTTCGGACGGAAAAGCATGATGTTCCGGCGGTAAAGCCGCCGTGCTGTCTAGTTTGCAAACTTACCAAACCATTTTTGTGGAGACCCGAACCATCTTTGACTCAAAACTGGAACCCAAAGCACGAAATCCGGCGCTCTTCAACCGAGATGCTGATTGGGTCGCGTGCTCCAGGAGTTCAAGAGCGAGGGACCAATGGTGTCTATTTCTCCGGCGGGATGATTCCCAGTTTCACCAGCTGCTCCGTCGTCATCCTCACTTTGGATTGTTGCTCTAGCGAATCCCCGCAATGAAGCAGCAGGGCTTAGGGTTTAGAAGGCGTAGATGTAAGATCTATACCTTAACCTACCAAACCCTACTTTTTGTAGGTTCTTAATATAAACCCTAATATGGAATTTATAGGGACCCTACAAAAAAGTAGGTTTTGGTAGGTTAAGGTAGGGCTTCGGAAATCCGGAACGGCAAGTTTCCTTCACAACACGACGAAACCGTTTAACAGAGAGCCACCGCTTCCAACCATGTCGTAAAATCCAAGCCCTTCCCAATCCGAATACCCTAATCAAAATTTAAATACTGATATACGAATACCAAAAACCCTTTCAAGCCACCCCCCCACCATCAGCCAAGTATCTGGTTCGTCCGGCCCGGGCCGAAAGGGTGGTCTGCTTCGGGCCCGCCGACTGTCGGCGCGCCACTGCGATTCACACCTGTACAGGGATCAGTTTATTAGGGTTTACGGGCACAGCGGTACAATTGACAAAAAGTACGTTAGGATATCAGGGTATAAGGCATATAGGGCTGAAGGGTATAAGGGTATAAGGGCATACAGGTATGAGCGTTTGGGGGGTTAAAGATGCCAGGGACTACTGTTCAGAACAGGGTTTGTCGTAAACATCAGGTTACCCTGAGTCGGGTTTATCCCTTTTCAGGAAGTTGCTGAGGATCTGGAAGTGCAGGGCATGGTAAGCTGGGCGTAGCCATTCGGGGCCTCAGGGCTGTTACTGGCCCTTCGGTAAAACCAAAACAGTAAGATGACTACTTCCCTAAACCCTAACCCCTAAACCCTAAACCCTCCCGTGTTGTCAACAACACCGACCGGGATCGAGAACCGGCGTGGAGTCGCTGTAGCCACCAAAGCTGGATCCAGACTCCTATACTGAACTTAGAACCCTAGCAAAAACTATATTTTTTGCTGTTTCACAGATTATAATAACCAAAAATTCAAAATTATTTCAAATACCCCCAAGACTCCGGGATGGCCGTGGACAGAGGCGCCTCGCTGAATGGTGTTTCTGCGATCGAAGTACTTGGAGGTTCTTCTACTTATAGGGATCTATACGGATTCTATAAGGGAATAGGGTTTAGGGACTACTTGGAGGTTCATGGGTAGTTATAAGTGGTGCTATATAGGTCCCCTAATATGAGTTATAAGTGTAGTTACCCTACTTATAACCCCACTTATAACTAACCATGGACCTCCAAGTAGTCTGTGCCTGCCTGCCTGCCTGGTATTCAGAGGGGAAAAGGAGGGACCCTTAATGGGGATCCCTACCCTATAATGGGGCTATATAACGGGTATATAATGGCTATATTAAGGGTACATACCTAGGGGTCCTCATTAAGGGTCCCTCCTTTTACCCTTGGAGGTATGTACGCATGCGCCATGGAAACTATCCCGGATCCAAAATCCCGAGGCCGACACTGAACGTCCGCGTCGAGGTCCATGAATAGCTTTTAACTGACTGCGGCTTCTCTTACCTCTGGTTAGTAGGGAATGGAGGCCATGGGGTACAATTGTAACTACTATTACTACCATTCTTCCATTCCCTACTAACCAACGGTAAGTTCTAGGGTTTAAGGCGTGAGAGTTTAGGGTTTGACGGTTTAAGGGAATGTGCCTGATTGCTTGGCGGTTTTAGGTTCTCACACGCTCATCTTGTGCGTGTATACCTTGCTACCTTGCTGTATAGCCGCACATGACCCTTCAGGCAAGGCACGGCGGGGAAGGAAGGCAAAGCCGCAGGACCAGGATTTGTCCATTGCGGGGCTGCTGCCTCAGCTCAGGAAGCTCGAGGCTTTGGTCTTGCTCCCTTGTTCCCGCGTTCTCAGCTGAGAATTTCAGCTTGCGGGCGTTTAAGCTCTATAGGATGTGGCTCTAGGATGTCGGCACATGGCGATTAAATCAGTACACTCATTACGAGTGCTTTTGTAAGGTTTTGATTGGACAATAATGTTTAAGATTTTGCATATGTAGATATTGATATCCAGTCATGTCACGAGGCAACCCGTATGTTACAACTTCCAAATGTCCCCTGCTGCCCCCAAAACCATTGCAGCCCTAAACCGCCACTAAACTCCTACTAAATAAACCCGCGAAACCCACATTTCCCACTGAGCGTCCGGTTTGTTCGAGGGCTCCGGGGCGATGGATTTGAAGCTCCAGTCATCCTCGGGTCTCATCTCCTCCTGTTGGATTGGCGGTTTTGGGTTTAAGATTGAAGGGTTCTGGTTTGGGGGTTTAGGAGTTTAGGTTTGCAGGTAAACCCCAAAACTCTAAGACCCAAACCCTTAAACCATAAACCCTAAAGGGTTCAGAGCATAGGCTTCGGAAAACACCGCAGTCTGGTCTCAGCTCCTGCCAGGCGTAGTTGCCGAAGGCTCCCGAGTGCGTCGCTTGCCGGTGATTCCAGCCCGGTGGCAAAGGCTCCTCCTGCTTTCCCAATGGGTCCTAGGTACTCTTCTGGGGGATACTTCCCCAAATCATAATAGAACTCCCTAATATATATATATATATATATATATATATATGGAAACCCTACATTCTACTTTTCAGGTACTTAGGACCCTTTGCTTTTTGGGGCCTGGAAGCCCTGATGGCTTCAGGCCTTTGGCGGTTTCAGGGTTTATGCTGAAGTTCAGGGCCTGTTCATGGCCTCAGGGTTTCAGCGTGTATCGGGCTTTGGTCACTTAGGGTTTGCATGTTTTCAGGCTTTTGGGGCTCCTACTTCCTTGAAGTCCCCTATACCCTGCACCCGAAACCCTCCTCCTAGACCCAAGAGTAACCTAGGAATAAAAAGGGTGCCCTTTTGGGGATAAAGGGGTTTATAAGGGAACCTGAACCCTAAAAAAAGGGAATAAGGGCCTACTCTAGGTCCTAGCCTCTCTGGGGTCCCAGTATCGAACTTTCGCACACTCCCGGATACGAACTACTCTATTGTGCGCCCAACTTCTCCCTGGATCCGTTGGACCCTACAGGCGGTAAGGGCTTTTGGCATCTTGTTTGGGGGCTTGCAGAGGCGTACTCTAACCTACGTAAACCCAAACTCAAAAGAAAAGATAACCTAAACACAAATCCTAAAAGAAACCCTTCACACCCAAACCCTGTGCAAGCCCGATACCTGTATAAATACCACCACAAGTACAAGTTATTAACCCCATTTTTGCAACTCTTAATTAGTATAGAACCCCGTAGATCCCTATATTATATAGTAACCCCAAGTTCCGGGAATAAGGCGCCTGCAGCGACTTGGCCGGAGGCTCAGAGACAGGAACCGGACCCGGTGCCGCGCCCTCGTCGGAGCGGAGTAGCCGAAGAACCTGTGACAGAGACAGAAGAACTTTTCATGTCAGAGTGTGCCTATAGTTTCCAGTGGCTCCTTCTTTGGGTTACCTTATTTATAGAATCCTAAACATAAAACTTGTTAAGTCAAAAGAAGGACTACAATGGAGACTATGGGTGCGATTGGAGTCTATAGATTTTAGACGGGTTTGAGGTGTGGGGTTTCGGGTCTGTTTATATATACATAAATCCCTGAGGAACTCGCTCTGTTAGGGTGTAGAATGAGGAAATGTGGGTTTTCTCACCATCTACAGGGTACTTTCTTCGAGATCCCCTTGCAAGTTCTTTGCTTCACAATTCTAAACGCCATGTTAAACCCCAAGCGCCATGAGAAACCCTAAACATCGCAATAAATGGCAAACGCCACAGCAGACACCAACCCACAAAACCCCTAACCCCTAAACCCCTAACCCCTAAACCCAAAATACCGCAAAACCAAAACATGCCCATCGCTGCCCTTTCGCCTGCTGGGAAAGCTCTGCGTCGCTGAGGTTGGATGATCCCGCGAGGCCTTCTTCGGCCAAAAGAAGAAGGATAAGGGGGCCGATTAGGGTGTATACAGTTTAGGGTTCAAAGGGGGCTACAAGAAGAAGGAGAAGGGGGGATATTAGGGTCTATATGGTTTAGGGTTCATAGGGTTGTTTTAGGGCTCATAGGCTTTGGGGGGTTGGGTTCAGGGGGTCCCTTGCGTTGGTATTTGCGAGGACCTCGCAATGTCAGCACTGGCATTGGGGATTCGCCGTCCTTGAGCCCAATGCTTGGAGTTTAAAGCCGTCCGGCGAGGAGCTTCTCGCAATTTCGGGCAGCAGTCTTAAACGCCGCTTCATGCTCTACTTTCTCACCTTCCGTGTAAGATGCACATATCCCTGTGCCGTTCTACAACCTAAGCCAAACGCCTTTGCGGCAGACGCAGTAGTAACTTAGTCGGCTAGTGTCCTCTGAGCGCATAATGGAAACTCCTGTCTATCCATAAAGAGAATCAAGCATGTCCTCAAGTAGCCTGTGCTACTTCGAGGCTGAGCAGCGGAACGAAGGAGTCTCAGACCAAGGCACCCCCAATCTGCACGGCACATCTCGTAACTCCCACTTTTCAAGAGTGAGAGTGAAGGATGACACAAGGGACACGTGGAGATAGGCTAAAGCCTCAAGCCGGTGAACCCTTAAACCCAGAACCCCCAAACCCAAAACCAACAACACTAAAACCCCAAACACGATTCAAACGCCTAAATTCAACCCCTAAACCCAAAACACTAAACCTCCGAACATAATTCGAAACTCCCCGAAGTAGGCCTTCTGCTGTCATCCCCACACCAGGCAAGCCTCGGATCCCGTCCATGAGAGTTTGGGATGTCCGGATTCGCGCCATAGGGTTTAGGGCTTGGCGACTTCAAGGTTTAGAATTCGGGGTTTAGGGTATTAGGGTTTGTAGGGCTTGGGGGTTTGGGGTTGAGGGGGTTGTTCTGACATTTCAGGGTGTTTCAAAACAACCCAGGCGCAAGCTGCCGAAAACCACAAGCAAGAACATGCACAACAGCATGTCCTTGTTCCTGCCCTCGAACCCTAAAGTCTAGACACCAAACCCTAAACCCGACTTCCCAGACACCTGTCATCACAACCAACAGATGGCCTATGGAACGGCAATGAAAGCCATGAACCATCCAGTCTATAATGTTAAGGGTTTAAGGTGCATGCTCCTGTTTACGGGAGCAGGAAACTCATACTGTAATCAGTAACAAGCCAGACCACGTGTACTTCAAGTTGCGCATATAGTGGTGCCAGTTTAATCGTTACCCCGGAGGTGCTTGGAGTCTTAAGGGTGTTGAGTTCGTCATCCCTTTAGTCCCTTTAGAAACTGTATCACCAAAGCCAGATCGAAATCGACCTAAACCCGAAACCGAGCACTCGCGAGGGTCTGAAGGCTTTGGACGGCCCCACATCAAACGCCAGACCCCGCTTCGTGGCCCGTATGATACCGACAGTCAAGAGTTGTTGGAGCAGTATTAGCCTGAGCGCGTGTCTTTGTCTCAGCAGCTCTACCGGGATGTAATGTCTGAATTTGATGTCGATATGGTAGTACGTCTGTGCTACAGAAGCTTTCAGAGAGAGTTGCAAGTGCCCTACCAGCCGCAAACGACGCATAATCCATAGTCTGTGGGCAACTACGACCTCAAGACTCTGAAAATGTGCACGGTTGCTGGTGGCGTTCTGAATCCTCTCCCCGAGACGGTCTCCTCACCCTTGAAACTATGCAGAAGTTGTTGCTATTGTTTGTTGTTATGGTTTTCTGCTAGTTATAATCGTTAAGGGTAGAAACGGAGCTGAATATGGTCCCGGCTGGATGCTTTTTGCTTAGACTTGACTGGCAGCCTGCCGGCCGCAGATGCAAATAGTGGGTCGCCCAGCCTGCAACTGACACAAAGCAATATAGGAGCCTTGCTCCTTTAAAGTGGTCTATAAGGGCTAGTACAAGGGATGTTTAAGGGTACTATAGTATAGGGGCCTTACTAATTAGAATAGGGTCTGGGGCCTGGGGCCCATTATGCTGTAAGTATAATGAGGAACCCCCAAAACAGTGTAGGTAACTATTTAGCCCCTACATTCGTGGTGCTTCCTACCGTATCTGTACGTCGAGGCCATCTATTGGGGTGACAGATTTGGGGTAGCTTTCGTAGTGATACACGGTGCTTATTGAAGAACACATTCTGCTGAAGATGGATGGCAGAGCTCACCCCAAGGTGCAAAGAATCTTTAAATTTCAGTGTCTGGCTTCGAAGAATGCTATGCCACAGTTTAATTACGCAGCCTCTGCTGCTGCTAGCTGATGCGCCTCTCTTGCGATGTACCCCTCAACACTCGTGCAGCTGAGGGTGGTGATGCTCGTCTTGCTGTACAAGTAGCATTCGCGGACAAACGTAACGATGATTATTCACCGATTCTGAAAACCTGCTGCTGACGTCTGCATTGGAACATTATACAAGCACCAGCGTTGACCTTTAATTATGGCATCTTCATTAAAGAGCTGCTAATCGTTTTCCAGTCCCCCTATATTATAGTCTATCTATCTATCTATCTGTCTATATATATATATATATTATGTACATATATTATGTACATATATACATAGTGTATATAGACACACCCTAAACCCTCCTCTACCGATACAGAGTCTGAAGTTCAGAGCCGGCCTTCCAAGCCATCCATGATGTGGGTGCAGTAGATGACGGTACTGCCTTCCTTGCATAAGGACCCTTACAGGGGTGGTCGGGGGCTTTAATACCCATGATCTGATAATAAGGTTCCTTAAGAGGGGAAGGGGGCTTTTGTACCCCTACTACTACAAGGATCTGATAATTGGGTTCCTTGTGATAGGTCCTTGCATAAGGACCCTTAAGAGGGGTGGTAGGGGGCTTTAATACCCATATTAAGAATATGATAATGAGGTTCCTTCTGAACCCTTAGAGGGATAGGGTGCTTTAATGCCCATATATACTAAGGATCTGATAAAAAAAATCCTTGTAAAAAAGTTCCTTGCCACATAGATCACAATGGGCTCCAGGGTTTCGGTTTCGGGGCTCCGGCTCAAAACCCTAGGCAACAGTAAGGGGTGGTACGGGAAACATATGCTGTGGGGGTATACACACATGCCTGTGCATGTGTGTATATATATATGTATATAAATATATCTATGTATGTATGTAGAACATACAGAGTTGAAAGTTCCGAATCACAACTCGGTTTTTTCATAGCAGCCTACACAGGAGCCGTGCTTGGGGTGTCCTGCTTCGGACTCTTGGACCGGATTTCAGACTGGTCCTTACGGCAACGACGACCCCCTTCCCCCCCCTTCCCCCCTCCGAATTTCTTGTCCTTGGTTTCAGGGTTTAGGGCTTTAGGGTTTTAGGGTTGAGGGTTTTTCCGGGTTTAGGTTTAGGGTTTCAGGGTTTAGGCGTTTGAGGACTCGGGCTGGGTCCTTGAAGACAGAGAACGGCAGTCCCAAGACGGAAGTGGAGACCAAGGGGTTCTGATGCAATGAAAACCCAAGACCTAAACCCCAAAGCCCGAAACCCGAAGATGTGTTAACCCCCGAACTGTCTAAGCCTCCACGCTGTCGCTTGAAGTTGCGTGACGAGGACCAGTGTTTTGGGACACCGCAAATGCGTAGTCTGATAAATCCTTCCCGATGCTTGTGTTGAGCTGTGACACCTCAAATCACTCTGAACCCCACCAAATCTCTATAAGGGGTGCCTTCTAATTATTGCAGGGTTTTGCAGCATACTATGCGAACTTCCACTTGTTGAGGCTGAGGGCCCTTTATGAAACCCCCAACTAAATCCGAAACACCTAAACCCTAATGAAACCTCTGTTGGCTGAGTCTGGCTCTTCGCTCTCTTCCTTCAAGAATTGCAGCAGGGCATGGCGGGCCAGAAGGTCCAAGTCCTGAGCGTGGCTCAACTTGGTGCTGAGGGTTAGGGTTTAGTTCAGGTCCTTGTTGCGGAGAAGGGCTCCGTAACAGGGCTCGGGCTAAACGAGTTGATCTGAGCATTCATGGACCAGGAATTCTAGGGTATACGAACCAAAAGTAGGGTCTCATGGCGAGTGAAAGGGTTGAGGCTACTCTGACGAACCGGGGTCTTTTTCGCAGTCTGTAGGAAGAGGCAGAAATAAAATATTAACCCGAGAGCTTTGAATCCGAGGTGAAGGAGGGGTTCGTGCATTGAAACCTACCTGCGACCCTCAGCCAGGGAAACCCTTCCAGGAAGGCAACTGGGATGTTCGACTGCAACCAACCAAGATCCACAGCTCATCACTCATTGCAGGCTTCCCTAAACCCCAATCGCTAAGCCTTAAATTAAACCCGAAAACCTCAACCCAAAACCCAAACCCGTTGTGCCCGTTGTTTAGTGGATGATTGGGTGCTTTCACTAAACTACGGGGGTCCCTTGAACTGTCTGCCAGGATACTGCAGTCACCTCGTCGATGAGCAGCACGGAGACTGGTTTCCTGGTCTAAAGCCTACAGGGTGCTTCAACGGTTCTACAAGGGTTCCTATTTCCTATAAGTGGAGGGGTGCTTCAAGGCTTCTGGAAAGGTTCTATCTTGGGCTGTTTGGGCCGATGTCCCAGCCTAGCGCGCAGACCCTAAACACCACACAGTTCACACCTCAACACGTCTCAGGTCCTATCCGAGTTTCGGACACCTGGGGCCTATCAACGAGTAGGCTCCTTCCATTAAAAGATCCGAGACATCGCACCCTCATCACCCGAATAGCACCTCCAACACCACGGAAAAATGCCTCATTTGGTAGTTATGGTCCTTAAGGACCCCAAAACCTTTCACACGAGTCCTTCAAATTCTTATGGGGGAACTGAAAAGCTAAAGCCCCCAAAACCTAAAACCCGGAACCCCGAAACGCTAAACTCCTAAACCATAAAACCTAAACCCTAAACCCCTAAACCCCTGGACCCAAAATCCAAACCCCAAAACCTTAAACCGCTGAGCGTCAGCAGCTTCAGGCCCAGCTGAGCGCGGCGAAGGGCTCCGTCGGACAACGTGCCGATTGGCTTAGCCGGATCTATGCTGAGCCTGGGATTTACGATTTCCGGAGTGGGGGCTTCGGGTTTTGGGCTGAGGTCTAGGGGTTAGGGTTCAGGGTCTACGCTGATGCTGAGCCTGGGACTTGCGATTTTCAGAGTGGGGTCTTTGAGTTTTGGGTTCGGGGTTGTGGCTTAAGGCGTAAAGCTCAGGACGTAAGGGCTTGTAAGTTCTTGAGAGGTCAGAGCATTTGAGGCATTATAGGGTTAGGTACTTTGGCTTATCTGGTTATCTACCACAGCCTATAGATGTTCGACGTAAAAGAGGCCTGGTGGTTCTGTACTACCATAAAGCACTTGAACCTTGAGGGTCAACGTACATGCTAAACGGCATTTGGACCCTTCTTCGGGTTGAGTTCGACGAGCAGCTTATGGGGTTCATCCGGCCTATGGAGAGTACATGGGGAAGCACTAGTGATAGAAGCACGGGGTGAGTGCTTCAAGCAATTGCACGCTGAAGGCTGCCATGCGGGGTCGGAGCACCCCATGGCCCAAGTGGCCAAAGCCTTCAAGCAATTTTCCTCTCGCAGTCAAGACCTAGATACATGTGATTCACTGTAAGACGGTTCAGGTTTCAGGGTTTAGGGTCACTCTATTCGTTACCACAGGAGATCACCTACAGCACATTAGCCAGACTTAGTGAAAGCTTCATCCTTTCTTTTCCACATGCCCTAACTGGGATCATCTTAGCAGGGCTTAACTCGCGACTGTAGGGTTTATGATAGGTACACATCCAGAGGACACCAGAAAACATCCTCCCTAAACCCTAAACCCTATAACCCTAAACCCTATGAATCCTAAACCCCTACACCCTAAACAACCCCAAGCCCTAAACCCTAAACCCTACAGACCTCATCGTTCGAAGCGAGCCGCATCTGCATCAAGCGCAGCAAGCGCGCTGACAACAGAGCCGTATTGAAACCCTGGCTCGTCAGGTCCTCCACCCGTGCCCGTGGGTGCGTTGAAGAGTGAACACCGGGAACGCCCATCTAAATCCTAAACCCCTATTTAAAACCCCCCGAAGCTCTAGACTTTAAACAGCCTTAAGCTCAGATTTGTCAAGTAGCCACCCCAAGATACCCCTTAATCCTCCAAACCTCTGGAAAATATCTCGTCCTTCACCTCCGTCTCTGCCAACTCACGGAAGCTTAGGCCACTGGCGGACACGAGCTGGCCCACCTCCAGCGGTTTGGGGGTGCCTTCATCGGAGCCCCTTTAAGGGGTCCTTTGAGCGGGTTCCACTGTAAAGGTTCGACGAAAGGGTTCGACGAAAGGGCTCCTTTGATAGAAGTGACATATTCCATCACAAAGGTTCTAACATGGGCTTGCGGGTTTTAGGATTCAGGGTTTCGGACCCGAAATGGACCGATGCACCATCACGGTGTCGTATAGGGCACTCCGACCGAGGAATGGGGTTCAACATCGAAACGCTACATGGAACAAGACGGCCAGTCCGGCTGAAGGGTTACACCAAGGAGGTCACCGACTGACGCTCTAAATCAACTGGGTAGCTCGGTGTTGGTTCTAAACTTACTTGGCCTTCCTTGTCGGTTGCCCTGGCTGTTGAAACAAAGGTTGCAGAACTCACAGCCACACTGGGCCTCGTTGTAAGAGTTATCTTGCTATCTTCGCAAAGGATAGCGCTAGCAGTAATTTAGATGGGTTTCTCCTAAGTACAAAATCCAATGGTCCTCCATGCAAATTATATGCGCCCTGCTCTCTGACAGAACAGGAACTGTTCTTGTTATCTTATCCACAGCTGGGTTAGGGCGCTGCATTGCCGTGCCTGTCGCTTCCAGTCGCTGCTGAGCAGGGAGACTTCCCGGTCCAACTTGGCATGGTCCTGCGCAGGGGGGGTTTACGACGGCTAAAGGGCTTATAGGGCTTAAGGTTTACGTTAACCCCAAATACCCCACATTGCTAAGGATATATATATATATATATATGTAGAAGTTATAAAGAACCCTAGAAAGGTAGGCCATTTGAGGTCCATGTAGGGTTTAGGGTTCCGAAGCTGGCTCGGCTTGCCATCTGCCCGGCTGAGGGTTTCGCCCTACAAAACCTTAAGCCGGACACCGAACTATGTACTCATTCAGCGCTGTCCGCCGCCCGAAACCCTTACAACCCTAAACCCTATAAACCCTAAGCCCAAAACCAACAAGCTGAAACCCTGAAGACCAAAGCTCTAGACTGCCCAAGACCCGAACGACACGGAAGCCGAAACAGTCAGACCCTAAACCGGAAGCTCGAAAAAAACGAAGCGCCGTGTCCTTTAGATTAAACCCCTAACATCCTAAAACCAATGACCCGGAAATCCATAAACCCTACGCCTGAAAATCCGGAAACCCCAAGCCCAAACCCGAGAAAGAAAGGGAGCAAACTCGTAGAGTCCCCCTAAACCCGTAACCCCTTAAGACTCCCTAAACCAACCCTCATAGAATCCCTTTAAAGCCCCTATACCACAAAACCCCTAAAATTCACCCTAAAACCCTAAAGCCCTAAACCCTAATAAAACCCTAAAGCCCTAAACCCTAAAACCCTAAAGCCCTAAACCCTAAAATCCTAAACCCTAGAGCCCTAAAACCCCTAAGCAACCCTAAACCAGCTGTCCTGGAAGGGTCGGAGTCCCAAAACCTTCACCGACTCCTCACTCGCGACCCGTGTTTGGGGCTTCGAGGATTGTCTTAAAGTAAAAGCCAGAAAGTTGGAATATGATTATCCTAAACCCTTTATGGTAAATTATAAGGTATCCTACCCTGAAACCATATTCCAACTTTCTGGAGTTCCCTATAGTTGCGGAGTTCATAAGCCACCAAAAGTGTAGACTTTGGGTTGTATAGTGGGTAATATTATCCTCAAAAGTGTAGAGTGTATCCACTCAGCTACTCATTTATACAATTGCGTTTAGGGTTTACCGCTCAGGGCTTCGGTGTTTAAGGCTTGTAGAGTCAAGGGCTTAGGGCTTAGGTTACCGGCAGTTTGGGGCTCAAAGGGTGGCTTCAGGCGTTAGTAGGTTTAGGGCTTCAGGCTTAGAGGGGTTAAAGGGGTGCGGGGTCGAGGCCCCTAAGAGGTTTAGGGTTTCGGGTGGTTTGAAGCTTCAGAGCTTCCTTTAAAGACTCTGAAAGTCTACGGTGGTTGCTACATAGGGGTTGTACAATAGTAGGCAGTAGGGATTGGCTTACGGATTTTATTCTGCAGAAACCCATCTTAATTTCGCAGGCTAACGACTCTACGAAGGTTGCGATGTGGGTTGCACAATAGGGTTCGGAGTGTAATATACGGGCCTTCATAATTAGAACAGGGTTGGGGCCCATTATAATAAGGAACCCCCACAATAGTATTGGTAATTATTTAGGCCCCTATAGTAGGGTTTCGCTGCCGGTGTTTGAGTGCAGTGGGCCGACATTGGGTGTTAGGATGACTTGTTTTCAAGGGTGTTGAGGGACATACAGGGCTTGGGGTTTATGGCTGCAGAGGATTGGGGCTGAAGATCTACAATTCATATGGGAGCTTCCGAGAATTAGGGGTACTTTAATTTGGGGTCCTTATAATCAGGATCCTACTATTTAGGGTACTATGTTAGGGTCCCCTATGTCTTTAGGTTTGGAATTTTCGGCATGGGGGGTTCAGGGTTTAAGTGGGCGATTTGATCCTACAACCGTTGGGCCAAGGCCTAAATTGTGGTAAGGTTCCCCTCCATCGGTGGCCATGCGCCGCCCTGCCAAAAGCGCTAGCCTTGGCTGCAATGCAGAACTCGGGAAAGGTGCGAGTTGATGTTGAACTATGCTTGTTACTGGCGTGAGGTTCAGAGTTGGAAGGGTGTTTCGCGTCTGGATTTTGACGCCAACTTCACTTCCGGCCAAGGGCTTTGGGCGGCTTGGGGCATGGCAGTTCAGTGAAAACCTACCCAATGATGGGCGCAGTATCTTACAGCGAAGAAGTGTGAGCATGCGATGGTTTACCAGCCTACCCGTGATGAAAAAACAAATCCGCTCGCCAGCAGCAAAAGGGAGCCCTATGTCATATGGGTGGTTGTCAAAATTATGGTCCCTTTTTGGGTCCCTATTATAATAGGGACCCTAATTTTGACAACCACCCCTACGTACACCCACTATGTCCCCTATGTAAACCCACGATCCCCCAAACCCTGAGTCCCTCTACCCCAGAGACTCCAATATCCCTTGATTAAGGAATATTCCTTAAATTATGGTAGGATCCCTTATATAATTTAAGGTGTATTCCTTAATCACGGGATATTGAAGTCTCTGGGTAGGAGGCTTGCAGTAATCCTTAAACGATCCCTAAGAATCTCATCAAGCCCTTCAAGGAGCCCTGACCAGATCCCTTCATATATGGGAGGTTCCGAATACAGGGGACCCTAATATAGTACCCAAAATAATAGGACCCTTATTATAAGGACCTCAAATACGGTACCCCTAATTTTCGGAAACTCCCATATGAACTGTAGCAGTGAAGAGCTGCCAGGTCACAAGCTAGACTTGCCGCTGCCATTCAAGCCGACCAGGACACACCTTGCTCAAGCGGTTTTGACTTGGGTATAGTGATTGAGGAGTTTCCGAAAACTAGGGGTTAATGGCATTATTTCGGGGGTCCTTAAAACAAGGGTCCTACCATTTAGGGAGCCTAAACCCTAAACCCCGAAACACTAACTACATCAGGGTCCCCTATCTTCGGGAACTCCCGTTTGGGCAAGCTTAAGAGACCAAAGCTGTCACGAATCCAGGAAGAGCTCCTCCATCTGGAATTATAGGATCCTTAAGGGAGGGTGGTTCAAGGGGGGAGGGTATAAGGAATCCTTAGGGGACTGTAAGGGAACCTTAGGGAGTACTAGGGAGAATTAGGGATCACTAGGCTATATACCCCCCTTGGACCCCCCTCCCTTAAGGATACTACAATGGAACATGGAACCCTTTCAACCCATTAAACTAAGCATCCCACTGAACGCTAGGAAACAAACCCTAAGGGTGAATGTATTGAAATAGTATATACTTTGGTCCCAGCGTACCAATATAGGGACGACGTATTTTCAGACCAAAGTATACAGTATTTGGGTACATGGAACCTTTAAGCATCCCACAGTACCCTAAGAAACAAAGTAAACAAAACGCTATGGAACTCTATGAAGCCGGAAGGATCAACGACACCTGAGCAAGCATAGTCTAGTTGCTCGGAAAAAGCCTTAAATCAAATCCTCTGTTGCAGTCTTAAAGCCCTATAAAAAAAGCTCTTGCAGGCGCCAAAATCCTCAAACACTACAAATCCTAAACCCCAAACCCTAAAATCCTAAACCCCAAAGTCCCAAAATCCCTAAACCCAAAGTCCCAAATCCTAAACCCAAAGTCCCAAAATCCTAAACCCCCAAAAAACCCTCAAAGAAAAGCTCTTAAAGGCACCTGTTCGAGCTCGAAAGCGTGAAGTGCTCCAGGCGGACCGCGTGGCCAGCGCCGTAGCTGAAGTCGAGGCCGGTCACGGAGACCTCAGGGGGGAGCTCTCTTTCGGCTTAGGGTTTGTAGGGTTTCGGGGTGTAGGACTTAAGGTTGATAGGGTTTAGGGGTTTAGTTAGGGGTTTAGGGGTTGAGGGTTTAGGAGGTTTGGGATGGTTTAGGGTTTAGGGTTTGGGGTTTAGGGGCTAGGATACCTGTGGGAGCTTTGTTTCGGTTTAGGTGTTTGGAGTTTAGGAGTTTGGGGTTTGGGGTTTAGGGGTTTAGGATGGTTTACGGGTATAGGTGTTTTTGGTTAGGGGTTTCAGGGTTTATTGCACCTCATGGGGGCTTTCTTTCGGCTTTTCAGCTGACGGCAGCTGCTACCATGATGGCGAATGCAATACTTCTTGTATAGTTTTTGTTTGCCGGAGTTTGAGCTAGGTGTCTCAGTCGCCAACAGATCTAATATAGGGGCTGCAATAAGTAGAATAGGGTTTTGAGGCCCACTATACTATAATCGAAATAAGAACCCCCGAAAAAAAACTAGAATAGGTAATTATGATGGCCCTTATACCATATCCTTACAGCCCTTATAGACCTCTATAAAGGAGCCCTACAGTACTAGTGGTAATTGTTAAGGCCGCCTATATTACAGATCTAACTTCCGTTTTGTGCTTATCAGCTTTGGGGCCCAGGACTGCGGGGTAGCTTGCAAAGGTACGGCGCGGAGGCTTCAGGAGTGCGTTCTCGGGGTTCGGGGCATATATCACAATGACCTATACTACGGTTGATGATATAAATCCTGCATGACCCATAATAAGGAATATACCATAATTCCCATAGTTTAGGGTCCTTAAGGTAATGCAGGATTTATATCATCAACCGTATTTTGGGGGGGTTCCGTTTTGTAGTTATAGTATACCGGGCCCCAAAGCCCTCTTTCAACTATTAAGGCCCCTACATCATAGAACCGTAGTATAGATCCCCCCACATATGTAATAATAGGGAACCTCGAAAATAGTATTCGTCATTCTTTAGGCCCTATATTCGTATTATTTTAGGGTTTAGGGTTTAAGGTTTAGGGATTACGGGGAGAGGATTCATGGAGCTGTGCCTGTGGAAGTCATCAAGGGCCTGGCGGCTTAAACCTCGAAGTTCGAAGCACTGCATCAGTCAGCCCTTAACCCTATAAACCTTAGAAAGCCCCCCCATCCTGTAATAGTCTATAATAGTGGTATATTAGGAATATAATCGGACCCTAATAGAATCCTTATAGTCACTATTACAGGGTGGGGGGGGGCCTTCTAACCTAAACCCTATAGGCTCTAGAAACTCCTCTAAACCCTACAAGCCCCTGACTAACTCCAAACACTGCTGCGAAGTCTATGAGCTGCAGAAAGAGTTGCGAATTTAGGCCGATGGGAGAGCCCAATATCGATCCAAATCAATAATTGATCCTGGTTGTTGGGACCCCTAAATTGGAATCCCGGTATCAGTGCCCTTCCACGTGACCGGACTCACCCCGACGTCCAGCAGGGACTAGGCTGCAATGTCTCCTTTTAAGCTCAATGCACCTATACACTTTGGCCCAGAAAAGTTCCTACAGACAGAAACCCCCTTCGAGGCCAAAGTCAATTATGTAGGGGCCTTAATAATTAGAATAGGGCTTTGGGACACATCATGCAAAGACTAATATAATAAGGAACACCCGAAATAATAATGGAAAACAGGTTCATGGACCCTTAGAATACTGCCAACCCAGAGTTCATCGAAGGCGCTGTGGGTCCAGTGCTGCTGTGTCGAGGAAATGGTGGGGCCCGTAGTGGCGTGAGACTGTCCTCAAGGTGCGGTTTTGGCTCACCATCACTGGAATAACTGATGTCTCTGGGCAAACTGAATCTGGGTCCAACACAGACGAACACGGGATTATCAGATCACGTCAAGCTGCGCAGCCTCTGCTCAGAACTCCAGGTCCGATGGGATGTAGGGACAATTCCGCAAAACCCTGAACGGGTCTTAAAGCCTTCGTGAATCAGGGAGTCTTGCATCTTGAGATGCAAACCGGCCCAAGAGCCTTTGATAAACATAAACTGCTAGTGCCCACTCATAACCTCGACCAACTAGGCTCTAAAGTAGAGCCTAAATACTCTCCATGAAGGACCGTAAATACTCTCCATGAAGGACCGTAAAATGCTCTATTAAGGGGGTCCTGGCAACGAAATCATTGGCCGGCCTAGGGGCGGTAGACTACCTAGACCCCGGATTGTAGTTCGTCTTAGTCTGGAATCATAACCCAAACATGCTAACCTACTCAGCAGAACTACACTGGATGCCAGTAGGGTTCCGGGGTTCAGCATCCAGAAAGTCCTCAAGGCTTCAAGCTTTGCTGAAGTCTCCGACCCCAAGCCAAGTCCATGACACACTTTAGGATTTAGGGTTTGAGGTTTAGGGTTTGGTGATGAGGTTTAGGGTTCAGGGTGTGTAGGTTTACGGGCTTTGGGTCTGGCCAACATCACTATCGGTTCTACTGCCCCGGCATTTGAACTGTCCTCCCGCGTGGCCGAAAGCCAAGCCACCATCTGCTTGAAGATGCTACCTGTCCGGCTCAGGGGCTCGGGGCTTGAGGATGCAGGTACTAGGGTTTAGGGTTTAGGGTTTAGGGTTTAGGGTTTAGGGTTTAGGGTTTAGGATTTAGGGTTTAGGGTTTAGGATTTAGGATTTAGGGTTTAGGGTTTAGGATTTAGGGTTTAGGATTTAGGGTTTAGGGTTTAGGGTTTAGGGTTTAGGATTTAGGGTTTAGGATTTAGGGTTTAGGGTTCAGGGTTTAGGGTTTAGGATTTAGGGTTTAGGGTTTAGGGTTTAGGATTTAGGGTTTAGGGTTTAGGGTTTAGGGTGTAACTTCAGGTACTAAGTACGACCAGTGACAAGAACCAGCGAACTGATAAGTAAGGTAACATTGCATCATTCCCAACTTCAGAGCACAGGCAGGGTCCTTGCAGTCACACCCTGACCACCACGTCGGTCAGCACTTTAGACCCAAGTAAGGTACCAAGTAAAGTGCCCATAAACCCACCTACAAGAACTACCAAGCCGTCGATTCGGTGGAGGGGCTGGGGGAGTGGGGACTGTAGGGGACGCAGGCCCCAAATCCCAAACCCTAAACCCCAATACCCTGTAAATAATACGTATCTAATGTATGTCTTTAGATCTGTATATATGGTTTAGGGTTTAGGGTTTAGGGATACGTATATACATATAGGTACATCTTATATGTCAATACAAATATACACAGAGAGATAGACCCTATTCAGACCTCTGATTTAAGTCCAGGCCTCCCTCGGGGGAAAAGGGCTCGAAGCGCAGGAGTTTGCCCTGGGAGAGCTGTAGCCTGGGTCCCGGCTTGGGTTCGGAGAATTTCCAAAAAGGGTTCCTTTAAGGTTTAGGGTTTAAGGTTTAGGGTTTAGGATTTGGGGTTTAGGGTTTGAAGGTTTGTACAGCTTTTAAAAGGGTTTCTCTAAGATTTCGGCACATGCTACTTTATGCATTGGTTTTGGGTTTTGGGTTTCGGGTTTAAGGTTTACGTTTGAGGGCGGGGTCGCCCCTTAATAGGAAGGAAAGAAGGAAGGATGCTTTGGAGGGGCTCCCCTTTGAACCTCGTTGGGGCAACCCCAAAGCACAAAAAAACAAATTGAGACGCTAAACTCAACAGCCTACACGCAGAATTTCAGGCTTGCTCAACACCCCAAACCCAAAAGGAAACCAATGAGATTGACCCAGTAACGCGTGGGTGGGCCAGCCGGCTAGTCCTCACGAGAGTTTAGGGTTTACGATGTTGTGGATTTAGGGTTTAGGCTTCTGGAGTGGTGTAAGGATCAGGGTTCGTATTTAGGGTTGAGGTTTGGGGGTTTGGGGGTATAGGCTTTCTGGTTTAGGGGCCTTCCATGATTGAGACTGCAGGGCCTGGGGTGCTGATTAAGTTTCTGTGCTTGCGCTGCGTCTTACTTGAACGGAGTTATGCGTCTGTTGTACAGAGAGTCGTGAAAGGCTGAACTATACGGATACAAGTGCATAAAAAGAGCAGCGCGAGGAAGAAGAACAGCAGCTGCTCATTCCGGTTTTAGGGCTTACCCTAAGGCTCCAAAGTAGTTCCTTTTTGGGGCTCATATATAGAATCCTATATGGAGCCTGTGGGTAGAGTAGTTGGAGGGTCTCGGGCCGCAGGAATCCAGGGTTTCGTGACCGTCGGCTAAGCGTCTAACATCTTAGCAGTGTACTTTCTCCTAGCTTGCAGGACCACAGTGTATTGGAATCGCTGAGTATTGTGTTATCCGAACTAAGGGGGGGGGCGGGTTATGGATCAGGGATACGATCAGAGTTCGGATCGTAGCACTCACCCGACGCAACTCAACCTGCACAGCTTCACTCGTACATCATCGAGAGGCTCTGCACTACTTATGGACTAAGTCTGCAGTATCCCAGCAAGGAACATACCATTGCATCATCCTTGCCGCCCTGCATAGTTGAGGTTACTTCAGGTAATGTGGGACCCCGCCAATCGGCAGCACAGCGACAAGCTTTCGGAACAGATGTTCCGCAGTCGCAGTCGCACCACATGTGCAAAACCTTGGGTCAAGGGACCCGAACTTACAAGGACCTGCCTTCGAAGACGTGCGTGACGTTGAAGATCGTGCTACCCGTCTCGGCCTGGGCAACACAAGGCCACCGAGAGAAATTATGGGGCTCTCGACTAACTCTGGTAAGCTATACTATACACGGTCTCGTCTTGTAATTAAAAGGAAAATGCTTCTGTTCACTGAGGCTTGCATGGGAAGTTGTGAACGAGGTTCTTTCGGAAATGCAGCTGACTGATTTTCAGTGTCGACTTGAACCCCAAAACGAAGATGTTGAAACTTCCGGCACAAACAAACCAAGTCTCAACAAGCATGGGTTACGGGTTTAGGACTGCGTAGGCTAAAATCGGCCGGTTTGTGCTTGCTCAATCTTGATCTTGCTTCATCACCCCCGCTGGCGCTTCAGGGTCTGATTCCTTCCTGACCTGGTACCGAACATCACAGTCCCAAAGGGTCTTAGGCACTGTTATGGGGGATACTTCCCCAAATCATAATAGTAATTCCTAATATAGAAACCCTACATTCTACTATAAAGGTACTTTGCACCCTTTGGGAGTGCTAGTGCCCGGAACATGACTCCAAGGCTAAAAGGAGGGACCCTTAATAAGGACCCCTAGGTATATACCCTTAATATAGCCATTATATACCCATTTTTTCAGCCCATTATAGGGTAGGGGTCCCCATTAAGGGTCCCTCATTTTCCCAATTTGAATGACTTTGAGCCGACACCAAAACAAATTCCTTTTGACTACTCCTGAACTCAGTACATAACGTCGCCTTCTGGATAGCTCTAGATCACATGAGCTGCTTCTAGCGTCTAGAAATTTCTACAGAGGGGATCGAAACGTACACGGATTAGTGTTTAGGGTGTAATTTGCATGTAGGCGTTAGGATGACCCTACTTGCAAAGGTTTAGAACATATGTGCGACCCAGAAGCTGCGAAAACCAAATCTCAAATCCAAAAAACCCTAACCTAAACTCTAAGCCAAAAGCCTGCCCGATCCCAAGCCCTCGAAAGCGTTACAAACACAAACACCTGCAGCCACAAGCCGCGACCAATAAGCTGAATCCAAAGCCACAGCTCTGCCACCCCTTAAGGGAACCCTAAAAACCCAGCCAGAAACCCTAAACCCTAAAGGACGCCCAACTGTAACACCCTACGCCCAGGGACAAGGAAGTCCAGCAGTAACCCTAAACCCTAAAATGCGCTCAGGGACAAGAAAGTCCAGAAGTAACCCTAAACCCCAAAATTATCCGAGGGACAAGAAAGTCCAGAAGCGCCTTCCGAACAAGCATGTCGAGCTCTGATGTGACTTCCTGAGCTTGCGGCTGTTGCCACTTGTCGAAAACATCCTACGTATCTACTATCGAGGCCTTAATAAATAATAGGGGTTCCTTTGATAAAGGGATCCTGAAAGGTTTCTATAGGGGATCTATAATGGGGTTCTATGATGTAGGGGCCTGAGGAATTAGAACAGGTTTTGAGGGTTGTATCATGCTATAAAAATATTGAGGAACCCCTAAAATGGTACTGGTGATTATTTAAGCCACTATATTCTCTCTCTCTCTCTCTCTCTGTCTGTCTGTCTGTCTGGCTAGCTATCTCAACCCTAAACCCCTTAGCCTTAGCCTTAGCCCTTAAACCCCTAACCCCTTAACCATCGCAACCTACCTCGATGGGGCCAAGGGGCATCCAGCAGTATCACCCGTTTAGGCTCGCGGAGTCGACGTGCCAACTCCACTCGCCTGCACCGGTCTCCACACTGTAGGGGCCTTACCCAAAGGGTCCACAGTACCGATATAGTGGAATGTAGGGTTTCTATATTAGAAATTACAATTATGACTTGGGGAAGTATTCCCCATAACACTACATAGGACCCTTTGGGTTAATCACGGCTTAGAGGTGTAGTAAACTACAGTTATGATAAGGAATCCCCCAAACCCTATTCTAATTACTAAGGCCCTTACAGTACTTGCTAGGAGGGATCCTTTTATTTGGAGGTAAGCGGGGCTTCAGAGTTTAAGCATCGTATGGGATTAAGGAATTTCTGGTTTCCGGGAATATGTTTTAGGCACTGAGTTGCGGCTTAAGGATTTGGTGAACAGGATGGGATAGGGCTTGAGGCAGTTCTACGTGGGTTTAGGGTTTGTTTTAGGGTTGGGGGGGCTGGGGTCCAGGTTGTGAAGTTGATGCGGTGCCCAGATTTAAGGTCCAGAAGGGTTACAACTTGGGCTTTGACGAACAGGATTGAGGTTTAGGGTTTAGGACCCTAAGCCCCAAACCGAGCCCTGAACACTAAACCCTAAACCGTTAGGGTTCGCGATTGAGGGTGCAGGACTTTGGTTTGGGGTCTGCGGATGTCGCAGTGGCGGGACCCCCGGCCACTCCACACCCCATTCATGACATGGGCGGGTAGGGCTCAAGCCTTAAGAAGACGGGCTCCTAAGTCCATTGGCTGTTTAACTGTTTGGAATGCATAACCCTAAACCCCAAACCCCAAACCCAAACTCTAATCCACCCATGTATAATCGATTAAGTAGACCACTGACCTCAAGGCCAAGGGCCTGGCGCAACACACTCGGATCGAGAGCCCAAGCCTTCGCTCGCCCTCGGAGAGGACACCAAAAAACTTCCTCGCAGAGTGAAGTTTGAAGTAAAAAGAAGCTTGGGTTTGGGGCCGGGGCCAGAGAGAGGTCTGTACCCTTCTTCGGCTTCATCACAACAACAACTTGAAAACACTACGCAGGGCTTTCTTGTCCCGTGATGAGCCAGATCTCATGTCCCAAGTTGAGCTGTTAAACTGTAAGGGTGAGCATTATTTACGGTTAGGGTGATAGGCTTATGGGCTGTTGTCAAACCTTACAACACACCCACAAACACAAATGGCGGAAAGAGGGATCCACATCTCGAAGGTTTTTTTTTTATGGTCAGGGCCTACCTAGCAGTAACATGGCATGCAACTTATGGAACCCTTGAAGATTGGGTCCTGTGGACCCTTATATCATAGCCCAAAATGTAAGAGCCCAAATATCTAAGCCTGAACCCTAAACCACAGCGCAGGCGCGAGAGCAACGGTGCCAACTCGAGAGCTTTGAAGAGCTTCCCACAATGCCTCGGGCTCCATCCGCAGGGGTCCTTGTAAACGTTTAAAAAGTTCCTCTAGGGATTACTTTTGAGGATGTTTTAGTTTTGTTACTAGGGTTGTATAGGGTTCAATCTCAATCTCAGGATTTTGCAGGATTGTATTCAAAGCTGTGGCTTCAATTAAGGCTTTCTTCTAGTTGTACTTGGGCTTTGTAGGATTTAGGAAAGGCTTTCGGCAAAGCTCGTTGTGTCTCTCAGTTGCGCCCACAAAGTCACCGTCCGTACTTCGCAGAGTGCGAAGCACATGATCCCGTTACAGCCAAACCCAGGGCTTTTCAGGTTGTTTCGTACTTGGAGGATCATTGGACTTAGTAAGTGGGTTATAATTGGGGTTATAAGTCCCCTAAGTGGGGAAGTGGGGTTATCCTAATTATGACCTACTTATAACCTTACTTACTCATTAAGTCCCATGAGCCTTCAAGTAAACCCTGAACCCTTAATCCTTAAAGGGAGCCCTGTTATAGAGCCCTTATACTACCCCTAAACCCTAAGCCCTACTTACTAAGTCTTACTAAGTCCCATGAGCCTTCAAGTATAGCCGAGCGGCGAGTCTGCAGCTGGCTGTGCGTCGGTCCCCATGAGCTCTGCAACACGGACCTGCATGTCAAAGCTCCAAGGGTAAAAGGAGGGACCCTTAATAAGGACCCCTAGGTATATACCCTTAATACAGCTATTATATACCCATTATATAGCCCACCCCTGTAATAGTGACTATAAGGATTATATATTAGGGCCCTATTATATTCCTATTATACCACTATTACAGGGTGGGGGCCCCTTCTAAGACCTGCATGCCAAAGCGCAGAACTCGAAGATTCAACGGCTACGGCTCTCTTTTTGGCAACGGTTTGGGGTTTAGAACTGATGGATTGTGATGACATGCAAGATTCTTGCTGAACGTACTCCTCGCAGTTCTTAGATGAGCATACAAGTTATTGTTTTGATGAAGATCATTGTTGCTACTGTGCTTCATGTTGCCATAGGACTACTGCTGCTGTGATAGGAGATGGTCATTTAGCTCTGGTCGGGTCGGCAGGCTTCAAGAACTTATGCAGCACGGCGTACCTTCATGAGGGTTCCAAAAGCTGTCGCCTAATCATGTGTGCTGACTTGATGCTTTTCTCTGACATGATGACTGACCATGATGACATGCGGTTCATTGCTCTTAACAGGAGCACCCGAGCCCGTTTCACCTCATGAACTGCAGCCTTAAACCAAAACACAGCTAAATTTCGAGCCCCAGTCCACAACCCCAACTGGAACGCCTCATGCCCGAAATCTCAAGCCCTCCGCTACTGTTCTGAGCTGGCATTGCCTAAAGGATTGATGGACCATCACTTCAGTCATCGTACTAACAATCAAACATACAAACTGCCTATCTCTCCTCATGACGCTGACACGAAACTTCAAGATCGACTCGGCTTGAAGCCCTCAGCCACCGCTCTGCAAACTCGTGGATTACCAAAACTATATGGGTAGTTTCAAAATCAAGGTCCCGTTTTGGTACCCTATAAAGATACTAGGTGCCGTATTATAATAGGGACCCGACAAGGGACCCTAATATTGACAACCACCCATTTACTCCTGAGACCCAGAAATGCCCTAAGCAGAAATCACGCACCTGGGCCATTCGCTCCTGGCGGGCGTCTCGCTGATCAGTCACCCAAGGAGCCCACACCCCTCAAACTGTGCTACAGGACTTATGACCCCACTTACAACTTATATAACTACCCATGACCCATGAACCTCCAAGTACGTGCATGTTGAGTCTTCCTGCTCTAAGGCCTAGGCTTGAATCCTGTGATCCTGAAGCAGAAGCATGCACTATGTATCAGGATCTCCCAAAGTACCCTAACGAGACTCCGTAGCGCTGGGGTGTTTCGGCAAACTCGGAACATCAAAATCTTTGACCTCAAAGTCATAACCGTAAACCCCGAATCGATTCTGCATCTCTTGGAAGCTGTACACCCAAATACTTACGGGTCATAGCAGATCCTGCAGCCATACTGTCAGAACCGTGGCAGTCATGTCGGAAACAGCATGCAACGAAGAGGAACCGTACTGCGACGCCTATACAGATCCAAAGCAAGCTCTGGACATTTCCAACCCAAAATCCTTACAAAGCCCACTTCTGGAGCTGCCTTGCTCAAATGCCGCGAGGGCATTTTCCGTGAAGGCGGATGTGAACTGCTCAATCATCTAACTATATGTACGTGTTATGGATCCATGGGCCTTGACAAGAGGGCCTAGAAGCCCCACTTGGGGGTTTCCAAAATGGGGGACCCTACTATAGTACCCTAGATAGTAGAATCCCTATTTTAAGGACCGCAAATCAGGTATTTTTAATTTTCGGAAACTCCGACTTAACACTTTTGACTTCAGCCGAAACCCTAGCTCCTCCATCGCTGCATCGACGGTGCCACGCCAGCCACCCGTCACCATCACCTGGGTCTTAATGTTCAGGGTTTCGGGTTCGGGGTTGAAGTTTTTTGTGTAAGTTAAACCACCATAGCAAAGAAAACATATCATGTATGTACTATAGACTAAAGATGCCCATTGCGGTAACTCAAACTCAAGTTCCTTAATTCCCTATTTTCACTTCCGTGAACCCCTGAAATGGGAACTCAATGTGAGGTTCCTCAACAAGAACCCAGTCACGACCGCTTCGCCGCGGCCTCGGAAGGGATCCTCGCCACACACCTTCGGGAAGGGGCTACGATCAGGAAGAGTTTGAAGATTTCATGTATAAGAGTCTTGATAGCTAGAATGGGGGTATTCTAGTATATATCCCCTATAGTGAACCCCAGAAAGCTGGAACATGGATTTAGGATGCCAGGATGCCTAATGTTGGGATACCCTATGCTGTACGTTACGGGTATGAGCACAATTATGCTCCAACTTTCTGGCTTCTACTACTATTATAAATCTGGAAGGCGCCATGACGTGTTCCTTACATGGGAGTTTCCGAAAATAGGGACCCCTAATATAGTACCCTAAATAGTAGGATCCTTCTTATAAGGACCCCCAAAAAGGTACCCTTAGTTTTAGGAAACTCCCATACCCTAAACCCTAAACCCATTGTAGAACCCTACCCTTATAGATCCCTTTAAGGAACCCTTAAAAGGATCCCTTTAAAGGTACCCCCCTAATTTAGGGTCCCCTGTTTTCGGAAACTCCCATATCCCTGCCGTGAGTGCCTACGAGCTGCCGGCCTTCACAGCTCCGGAAGGGGCCATGCGCCCACCGGAGAGGACTTGTAGGAGCCTGACAGGCTGCAGAAAAGGTTCTGTCGCAGCTCTGAAGCAGATTTCAGGAGGGTTTAGGGTTTAGTTTAGGGTTTAGGGTTTAGGTTGGGGTTTAGGGTTTAGTTTAGGGTTTAGGTTGGGGCTTTGCGTGTGGTTTGGGGCATACCAGCGACAAAAGATGCCAAATGGTGCGAAGAGATGCTGGCAGCACCCCCTGTCTTGCCCTCCGTGGACTTTGTTTTGACATCCTGGACGCACCAGTATATATGGTCCTTGAGTTCATATTTGAAGAAGAAGGCCTCATCAACTGTTGGGCAATGCTTCATGTTATGGTAGCTGATGTTGCAGTCGGGCTGGATCTTTCGGCTCTCTTTGACATCTGCTGTCAGTTTCAGAGTAAGGCTTTGCAGCTGCGCAATCGAACTAAAGTCTGCCAGCTGAGGGGGAATGCTGTTCTGGGCTTCAGTTTAGGGTTTAGGGTTTAGGGGTGTAGGGTTTAGGGTTTAGGGTTCATGCTCCTCCTGCTTGTTGTCCTTGTCATCGTTCTTCAGGTGCAACCGTTTGCCCTGCAACAAACCGCAAGTATTCTGTACCGACTGTGTACCGTTGCATCCTGCTCCTGTTAGTTGACCAGGACACTCGGGATCCAAGCGCAATCACAACATTGACGGCCTGGCCCTTCTTGCCAATATCTAACTGCCAGGTGGATTCCGGGTGGTGTTCAGCACTTGAAAATTTGGCATTTCGGGCTGAAGGGTGTGGCGTTAGGGTGTTTGGGGTTTCGGGTTTGACTAGGAGTTGGGCTTCAGGTTTTAAGGTTTAGAGTGCCCAGTAGCGTGGACTTGCCGGCGCCATTGGCGCCCACGCCTGGGAAGGAATTGAAGCTGTGGGTTTTGCGGAGGGTCTTATCAAGGATTGCAAAAGTTCTTTCTGGACTTGTAGCGCGGTTGCATCTGGTCGTGTCCGGGCTTAACAGGATTTCCCCGGATTCGCCGGGGTCTGTAGCTCATGATTCAAAACCTACACTGAAATAATTCGGCACACGCTTCTCCGAAATGTGCCGCAAAGTCCCACGTACTACAGTCTACACTCTACACTCTGGAAGCCTTAACCCTATCCCTCCAAGGACCTCATAGTTAGGGCCCTAGACCCCTTAAGGACCCCATAACAAGATCCCTGGAGGCATAGGGTTAAACTTGAGGGATTTGGGCTTTGTTTAGAACCTACAGGATCCTGTCGCTGACCTGCAGAAATTTAAGGGTTCAGGATAGAGGAGCTTGGGTTTTGATGTACTTAGAGGATCATGCGACTTAGTAAGATAATTGGGGTTATAAGTCCCCTAACTGGGGTTACCCTAACTGATGAAATCCTCTTGCTGGCATGTGTGCTGGCGACAAGCCCTTGATGCAAGGTCTCCGCTGGGCCGTTGCCATGTATAGGGGAAGGCTGCGGTATAGAAACCCCTTGAGGCCACCACTGTGTACAGCTACAAATCATAGCTTAAGGCACTGCGCTGATTGATCACATTTGTACAACCTTAGATCTCAGTAGCAGTTGCAACAGCGACGACAGTTAGCAGAAGCTTTGTTGTGCTTGCGAAAGAAGCCTACCGTAATTCCTGAACTTGACTAACTATAACCTACTTATAACCTTACTTACTAAGTCCCATGAGCCTTCAAGTAGGATGGAGGGCTGTAAGAGCAAGCAGCTCTACACCGACACAAATCGGTGCTTAAGTATCGTGCTCCAACACATATGTGGAAAAGCATTCCCACATGAAGAAGGGTTCGATCCCCCACAATCCACATTGGTGTCGAGCGATATCTAACACGCAACGCAACAATGCGAAGGACAACATCAACGTTTGCGTTTGTAAAGCCGGCACATCCTACCCACACATATTCAGACTTACACAAACCCCATAAAGTTGGGAACCGGATTGAGGCCAAATAGTGCTGGGATTCCCTTTACGAGGCTATGGGGTTTCCAACTTTTGGGCGTCTAAGGTAAAAGCCAGAAAGTTGGAATATGATTATCCTAACCCTTCTATGGTAAATTACAGGGGATCCTACCATTAATCCATATTCCAACTTTTGGGAGTTCCCTTTATTCTGTTGCGGCTGCGGTGCATAGCACTCGGCTACCATGAGGCAGCTGGAAGCTGAGCTGATCTAGAACTGGCGGCGAGCCTGCGAGTGCAGAATTTGGGGCTGAGGCCTTGATACGGGTTGGCTGAAGGATTGCGGGTTTAGGGATAAGCGGCTAGAGGATGTGTAGGTTCGTGGAGAGTTTTTGACGTGTTGGCAAGCTTTCAGATGCTCAACTCATATTGTCTATAACAAGGTTCCACATTGTGCATTTTTCGACCCTGCCTAGACCACTCCCAAGCACCTTAGCTTCTGCAGAGCCCAAAAACAACGGAGAAAATCTGAATCGGAAGCGTCAGAACACGAGGGACCCTCCCAACCCAAACCCGAAACCCTAAACCCAGCCCCCGCCCCCAGCTTCTTTGCCTGGCAATGGACTGAAGGTCAAATTTGACACCTGAGGAGGATCGGCTGGCTGTTGCTTGAAATTCGTTTGTGAATCTTATTCAAGAAATATAGGGGCCCTGATAATTAGAATAGGGTTCCTTTAAAGGGGTCTATAAGGGTTACTATAAGGGATCTATAAAGGGAACTATAATATAGGGGCCTCGATAATTAGAACACGGCTTTGGGGCATCTATAATGATGATGATTCAAGTAAGGATTTTGTATGCAGCTTGAGAGCTTTGGGTGGCAGAGGTTTTCCAAGTTGTTATTCGGAAGCCATAGTGTTTCGGATGTAGTGGTCTTGGGCTTAAAGAAAATTACCCACCAGGGTATTAATTTCCGCAACACTGGACATTGAAGCCCCACAGAACACTTTGATCAAAATTGTCAGTATCGGTCTCATCCGGACGGCTATTCATACACACGATACTCTTACTGTCGGGTGCGGAATGTCCTGGTACAGAGCATCCGGCGATTACGTACACTGATCACATGACAAGTTCCCTGTTCCTTCCGTAGTCCCGACTTGCGAAAGGTGCAAATTGAGATGTGCATTCTCGGCTCACAGTCTCGAAGCCTTCTTGGAAAACAGCACGAACACGTGTGGCATGCGAGCCATAGGGCAAGGTTCCTCTTACGATTTGCTGCGACTAGCTAGGTCGGGTCGAGGCCACCAAAACCTAAAACTTCCCGAACACGACACATCAAACATTGAATACTCCTAAGCTCTAACACCACCCCCGATCCCTCCGACCTCCACCGCGAAGCTCTCTGAAGCCATGCCCGCAGGCGTTGTAGGCGAAATTAAACGTCAGCTGTCTTCACAAGTTGTGCAAAGGGGCTTAACAAACAACTGAACCTTGCATCGGACTTGCTGATGGGATCGATGTGTATCTCTCTACCTGCTTTCTCAAGCCTGCAGGCTTAGGATGCAGATGATTGCAATGACCGAGATTTCAGTGTTCACGGTTTACAGTGCTGCTGGTCCAACCAGCCCTACCTATTCCTGCACATTCAACAAGCTGCTGCTTTACAGGCTTCATTAATGCCTTACAACTTACAAGTCCAAGGTCGTATGTAACCTTCTACCTCCAGAACAGCAATCGAACACATCTGCTAGCTGCCATGAAGTGGCATGGGATTTTTGCGTCACTGCTATAGTGTATTACAGTGCATAGGGGGTTGACATGGGCCACTGAAGGCTACCGGTATGATGCAGAACCGAAAAGGCCGGCGGCGCGTTCGGGTGGTACAACCGAGACCTTCCGCGATGATCCCTGTACAAGAAGCGGGTCGTGTTACCCTAAGGGTCCATGTACCCAAATAGTATATACTTTGGCCTGAATTTACTCTCTATATAGGTACATCGGGCCCAAAGTATATACTATTTTCGGCACATGGACCCTGAGGGTTATAAAGAGAGCAACTCGACTGGCTACGCATATCAGTTTAACGTAGCTTGACTTCGCCGACTAGAAGCCTACTTCATGAATCCTGCCTGTGCTCTCTGTTTCTACTTACAATGGCTACAACCCTAAACCCTAAACCCTAAACCCTAGGATGCATTTGCAACTTGACCCATGAGAACTGGCATACTTGTCTATCAAATCCGGGCGAGCCAAGCGAAGGGACAAATGGGTTCCCCAGAACTGCTTTGGAACCGGTCACGTGCGCAACGTCAGGAAAATCATCCAGGAATTACGGTATTACCAAACTCACACTGACATATGATGGGAAGGTTTTCATGCACAATAAAAGCGGATCCCCGAACTCCGAGGGCAAACATCAAGGAAGGCCCTCGACATCGAAGTATTTCTTTTCTGCCTGCTGCGATGTGCTTGCGCTGCCGGTCAGGTCCGAAGATCACACTACTACATCTACGGTTTAGGGTCAGGTGCAGAAGTCCCATAGGGTTGCGGCTTGTGGCTCATGGGGTTTGGGGCTTAGGGTTTCTGGCCGCAAGGCTCGCATATTTTTGGACTGTGGCAAGACTCGTCAGCAACTGTAGGGACGTTGTTGGCAATCAGCTCGGTTCCTGTGGTGGGCACAAGTGTGCGAATGTGTAATTTAGAAAACGGATTCAGCAACTTGGCGTCTGTACTAGGGCCTACTAGGGTTTTTATGTGAATTCTACCACTTTGGGGCTATAGGGCCAGGGTTTCTTCATCAGATTCCCACATCGCACCTGGGCAAAGAGTGAGCGAGACTTCCTCAACTCAAACACAGGCGTTCCATCACGCCACCCGCTGCGTGCCCTGCTCGTGAGGCTGTTCGGACTATTGTGCCGTGGCTTGTTTAGGCTCAATGCTTCGGGTCACGACAGTTTCGCGCTTTTGGATCGGGGCATTATGAGCTCTGGTTTCAGAGAACCAAGTCTTAGCTCAGGGTTTACAGGGCAGTCATTGCATGTTGCGAGAGGGATTTTTGCAAGAAGGCCGTTCAATCATTGTGCAAAGCTTCACATGAACAGAAGCACCATGCTTTTCTACTCTGCTCGGCCGTCAATGGGGCTTTAGGACGTGGCTGTTCAGGGCTTCTCTGAGAGCTTTGGGTACAGGGTTTGAGCAAGGTAGAGACTGATCTACTCGGAGGTTCATGGGTAGTTGCGAGTAGTTATGAACAGGATACGTTCGACCTGGGAACTCAACAGTCACTCTCTGGCTTAGGGTTTAGGTCCCGAGTATTGCTCGCCCGAACCTGTTGCCACAATGCTGCCGAAAGCACGAAACCCTTGCCCCGCCATGGCTCTTGCAGGAATCCTCGATTGAGGCTGTAGCGTCCCTGATATCAATAGGCACTTAAGCTGCAGCAGACTGCATCTGGGAGCATGGTAATCTTTTGCTGAGATGTTCGGAAAACCCATAAAACCCCGAAGCATTTAAACTCTAAACCCTAAACCCTAAGCAAAGACAACAGCTGCCTCAGCTGGCTTTCATCTTCTGAAAGTATTCCAGGGTCCTCGGGTAGCAGCACGGATGGAGTGTAAGCTGAGGTTTATGAACTAGATTTGCTGTGCAAATGTAAGTCAAACAGGCACCAAGACGTGCCACAAACCACCAGCACAAGTACGGCCAGTAGCCTGAAACCAGAAGTTCATGTGCAGTAAGTTCTATGGAGCGTCGATGCATCTGAATCGGATGAGCCTAAAGTTTAAAGCCTAAAGCCTTCCGCCTCACCCCCACCCCGATGAAGCCGCAGCCCATAACCAGAAACCCGGCCAAAACTGCACACCCCAAGCCCCAAACACTCCACACCCCGATCTCCGAGAGCCCAATACCCATGAAGCCAACACACCTCTGGTCCAAAAGCATGCAAGAGAAATCGGTGCGCGGATCTTCTATAGTACATCCATGGACCCCTCTTAAAGCATAAAACCTTACGAAGCCCGAAGTCGAAGGTTATCAAACCGTATCAAACCTTATGAACAAACAACGGTACACATCATGGAGAAAAGCCCTAAACCCTAACCCCCACAAAACCAAACAAACCTTTTAGAGGCCTTTCAGCAAGCCTGCCTGTGGATTTGTCTTGCGTTCCACTTGGAGGTTCATGGGTAGTTATAAGTGGGGTGATATGTCACCGAATATGGTTTGTAAGTACATTCACCCTACTTATAATCCCAGTTATAACTACCCACGAACCTCCAAGTAAGCCCTACAGACTAAAGAAGCTCAAAAAAGGTAATTAGGTTATCTTACTTGGCCAGTATCTTAGCAGAACTAAGGGTTAACCTTTGGGAATATAAGGGAATATCGTATCCTAAAAGGGTTAAAGGCTACCTACTCTACTGCAGGTTCTTCGGGGTTTAGGTTACGCGCTACATCTCTAAACCCTACTTGGAGGTTCATGGGTAGTTATAACTGGGATTATAAGTATAAATGTACTTATATCCCATATTCGGTGACCTATAACCCCACTTATATCTACCCATGAACCTCCAAGTAAACCTAAACCCTAAACTCTAAACCCCATCTCTTTTCAAAGGCCCCCCGGCTTCGCTCGGCTGACGCCCTCTGCCGCACTGGGCCCAGGGATGGGGCGAGGCTTGGAAAGGCTGGGTCTGGGTTGAGGGTTTAGGGTTTAGGGGTTTAGGGTTTAGGCTTTAGGGGTTTAGGGTTTAGGGGTTTAGGGTTTAGGGGTTGAGGGCTTAGGGTGTTAGGCTTCGAAAGGTCTCTGTCGGGGCTTTACTCTTCACAGGGTTTATAAAGCTTGAACTAATCATCCCTTCCCCCTAAAATCACAAACACAAATGCCTTCATATTTTACGAGGCTTTAGTCCCTTCCCCCTAGAATCAAAAAAAGATGCCTCCATATTCAAGTGTGTAGTATCTCTACATTGCTCGATTGTCACATAGGGGAATGTCTCGCTCCTACTCTGGCTTTCGCTCTTGCTCCTACTTTTGCTCCTGCTCGTCCTCTTACATCCCCCTGGTTCAAAAACAGGTTCTAAAAGGCGGTGATGATTCCAGGTGGATTTCCAGAAAAGTGTTCCTGGTTCGAAAACAGGTTTTAAAAGGCGCCACGTGGAACTGTCGCGAACATCGCACGTCAAAACACTCTAGATCCAGGGTGACCAGCTACCCTCAAAGGATTTGCGGCACCTTGCAGTAGAAGCCAGAAAGTTGGAATATCATTATCGTAACCCCTGTAAGGAAAATTATAGGGGATCCTACCATGAAACCATATTCCAACTTTCTGGAGCTCCCTTTAGTACAAACGACGAGCGGCAGCCTGAATGCGAACACATCTTAAATACCACGAGACTGCGGAGGACATTGAGATCTCCAGATCAGATGGCTGGGGACGACAACACGACGGTGCGGACGTGGACAAACCCTTCCGGGTTTGTCTGGGCTTTGGAATTGAGGAGTTGTTGCCACTGCTATCGATTGCAAACTGGCTTTTAAGGCTCATTATGACCCTTGTCACTATTTCGTCGTTCCGCACTCTTACTTTCACCAATTGCCCTCACAGTAACAGCCCCTTACTGTCACTACAACAAGGATCCCGCAAAAAGCCCGAACCCGGTGTAGGGTACAGGGTTTAGTGCTTAGGGCTTAGGGTTTAGGGCTTAGGGTTTAGCATGTAGGGTTTAGGGTTTAGGGCTTCTAAGGTTTAGGGGTTTCCTTGAAGTCTCTTGGGGCTACCGGAACCGGAGTTCGAATGCAGGGCCGTAAATCGAGGGCCGCCTCCCACCCTGAAGCCTTCCCCTCTGCTATAAATCTCTCGGCACCTTTATCTGAATCATAAACCCTAAAAGCCTAAACCCTGAAACAAGCCTATGCCCTGAACACAAAGCCCTACACTTCAACAAACAAGAACGGCTCTGGTAGAAAAAGAAAAGCCGACACAACCTAAGCCCTAAACGGCAAAACCTTAACCCCTAAAATACACAAAGCTCAAACCATCAAAACAAAAAACAAAAAAACTCAAACCATCAAAAAAAAACAAAAAGAAGCACCCGGCCCGGGGCCTGAAGAGCATGTTCAAGGCAACCTCGCGGCTGCTCAAGGCTTCAGAGCTTCTTCGCTATGCCAAGGGTCCCAGTTCTCTCCCTCCCTCCCTCCCTCTCTCTCTCTCTCTGTCTCTCTCTTTCTCTCTCTCTCTCTCTCTCTCTGTCTCTCTCTGTCTCTCTCTTTCTCTCTTTCTCTCTTTCTCTCTTTCTCTCTTTCTCTCTTTCTCCCTCCCTCCCTCCCTCCCTCCCTCCCTCCCTCCCTCTCTCTCTCTGTCTCTCTCTATCTCTCTATCTCTCGTCTCTCTCTGTTCTCTCTGTCTTCTTTC